TTACAATATCCTAGTAATCTATGTCACTGTTATAATCGTAGGGATCCATAATAAAATATGTAGGGATCCATAATAAAATAAAATCAAATCAATTTACAATATACTTCTTGTGTGTGTTGGTGTTATGTACTCAGGTGAATATGATGTTTGTGATGTTTCTTGGGTCATCTCTGTCCCATGGTCCACTTTTCACAATCAACAATGCTGTACTGTGGAGTAATATCCACCAAGCACACAGAATTTATTGGTTGTAGATCACAGTTACATCCAGTTTGCCCTTGTAAATTTATTGGTTGTAGATCACAGTTACATCCAGTTTGCCCTTGTAAATTTATTGGTTGTAGATCACAGTTTCATCCAGTTTGCCCTTGTAAATTTATTGGTTGTAGATCACAGTTACATCCAGTATGCCCTTGTAAATTTATTGGTTGTAGATCACAGTTTCATCCAGTTTGCCCTTGTAAATTTATTGGTTGTAGATCACAGTTACATCCAGTTTGCCCTTGTAAATTTATTGGTTGTAGATCACAGTTACATCCAGTTTGCCCTTGTAAATTTATTGGTTGTAGATCACAGTTACATCCAGTTTGTCCTTGTAAATTTATTGGTGACAGCACACTGTCCAACTCTTCATTAACAGTATCTGGATCTCGAGGTTGAATTGTTTGAGAAGGTGGGGATGGCAGAATATTGAAATCCCACAAAACAACATTCTCAAAGATAAAAGATTGTCCTGTTCCATCTTGCCCGAGATCACTGAGGTCAGAGAACTGCAACATATGAAAACAATATTCAGTTTAACAAAGTACAATATTAAAGTAGGGCACATGTGGGGACAGTGTGACTCAATGGGTTAACTAGACACATGGGCAGATAGGCCAGCTGCCATTAGACAGAGTAAAACAATCTGGCATGAGACAGAGTAAAATAATAAATGGTGCAATTAATGTGACTCATTTTAATAGTAATAAAATACCAAAGTAATCAAACCTCTATGATCAAACCAAATGAACAGTCTAAGCTTCTCTAACTTAAACTATTTTAGCTCTATATATGCTTATATTCAAAATGGAAAGCACAAATATTGACATATTGTTACCAACATTGGCTATAAAAATCTGAATCATAAAAAAAACATTGTGTAGGTACATTGCCTTTGTATTCGCTTTAACGATTAAAGCAAACGACTTACCCTAAAAGCACAACTGGAATGTATCTCTATCAATGCTGGGCTATTGCAATCGGCGAATGTTTCATCAACTTTTAGAGACAAATAGACAATTAAAATAGCGATTCTTCTGATATGCAAATTATCCAGAAAACTGATGTGAATCTCACGGCATTCAAAACTGAACACACGATAACCCATGGGAACCAACAGCGTAGGCTCTGACGATACACAATGAACAAAAAGAAGATCGTGTCCTTCCAAAACTGAAGCTTTATGGCGGTGGTCGGCTTTACAAAATCCGCCATATACTAATCTCACTCCTGTTGTTTTGATAGTGAAGGTCAAGCGAACAATGAGCGCCCGCTCGTGGAAAATCAATAATATATAATTATTTGGAATAATCGCAATGCATCACGGTATAGTGACCACTCCTCCTCTGGTCTTATTCTATGTCAGGGTCAAATGTATTGCATTTTTAATTAGTTTAATAATTGTGAGCGATGTGCGGAACAATACAATTTCGCTTGTTTTTCAAAGGCCATAAATCGCTAGAATACTGTTGTTTAGTAATACATTTGACATCTGTAAATACAACTTTTCACGCTGATTCGAACCGTAGTATTTTTGTCCTTATTGGGCGCATAAAACCAGAAATAATGCCTAGCAAACAGTCGATCATGAGAGTACCGACAACAACCAACAAATTCCGAGCACGTGCAAGGAATTTTAGAGTAGGTGATTAAGTAAACGTATTGATGCGAACAAACTAACAAACGGACCGACAAACTAACAAACGGATAAACTAACATTTAAAGTCACAAGCAGAATATAATGCAGTGCCCAAGTTTGGGCACCGCAAATGAAGCAAATAACTGTCTTTCATTACAGATTATATTTACCGCCTAACTAAATGTAATTTGCATTAAAAACACAGAAAGTTCGAGGTTGTTGTGCGGAATCTAAATAAAAAGCGCAAAATGTTTTTATCAATCCTTTTTATACATCCTTAGATTAGTAGATTGGAATAGAAGCTTTAGGTTTTTAGTGCTGGACTATAGGAGATCAAAGCTATTTTCTGAGGGTCAGTTTGTCGTGATTTTAAGAAGGCCGTAAAACGAGTATTATTGCGTATTTTTCCTCCCCCCGCATTTCTCTCAACATTCAAAATTTCGCTTGAATTTTGCACTTAAATGAATGAACAAGACTGAAAAAAAAGATCATGGTGCAAAGTTCTATATTCCGTGAGCTGTAATGTTTTAAATATGTGTAATTTTCAGTCGACGAGAAGTGCAAATTCAGCGAACACGGTCGCCTGGAGCTAAAGCGCTGTAAAAAAATTATTTTTATGAAAATTGAAAAACCAAAGTCAGTTTCATAACTCACTGGTATGCGCTATTTCACGGTAAAAGTTTGGGAGAAAACTATTTTCTGATCCGAAATGCAGTGGACCGCTTTTACAGAGACTGCCTCTTAACAAACAAACTTGCATTAAAATGTTGCGGGGTTTCCTCTGCTTATTCAGAACAGAAACAATGTGTAAATGGCTGCGTTTTAGTTCCAAAAAAGCAATCAACGCAGTCAGCAATTGCCAAATTTGCAAGTGCTCATTTTCAACTCGGAACAGGCTAATTAGACTAATTAGGACGAATTTCAACAGAAAACCTGTCTCAAACTTCAAATCCGGTGAGGGAAGTCGTGCAACCACATTAGCATTAATGTGTGCTATTAATGTGTGCTTGCGGGGTCGGCTATTTTGCGAGCTGCGAGTTGCGAGTTGCGAGCTGCGAGTTGCGAGCTGCGAGTTGCGAGTTGCGAGTTGCGAGCTGCGAGTTGCGAGTTGCGAGTCGCTAGCCTCGCATTGAATTAGGCTTTGAAAGTATATTAATATGGACGACATGGAAGGCGAAGGGTTTTTCATCGAAGGGTTTTTTGTTTCATAAATATTAATGACCTTCGAAGTTAAGGTCCCTGTAACTAAATTGGTTAATTTCAACACGTTTTCCGTGCACTTTAAGCCGGTTTTCCACTTCAACCGTATCGTAGCGAAGCGTATTTCTTTGTTTCCTGAGCACTAGAGTGGAACTTAATGACTTCGACACAAAAGAAAATGCTACGATACGGACGAGATGAAAATTGGCCTTTACTTGTTTGTTTACTTTGTTTAGATCCATCGATACGTATGTTCAAGAATTAAAATAATTATATTGAAAATAAAAGTGCAAGTTTATATTTGCCGTTTCTGTGTTTAATTAAATCTAGTAGTTATCCAGACCATTTTGTGCTTTCTAATCTTAAAATGGTTATTTAATTTTATTAGTAAGTATGACCAGACACCGACTCAGTTTGTTTAGATATACTGAACGCTGGGAACCCTATAAAACTCAAGTCCTTTTCATCGGAAGTACAATTTATTATATACAATTTATACATAGACATACACATACATATACATATACATACATAAACTTTATCTAAACACGGGAAAAAAACCATCAGTATATCAAAACGATTGCTATTTACAAGTTTGTAAGTATAAAAATAAATGCAATGAATGTTTATTTCAAAAGCTGAAAATTGGCGCCAAATTGAGACAAAGCTAAAATCACATCCGCCAGGATGCCATACAGTTTTCAATTTGAATTTTTAGTGTAAACCACAGGTGTAAACACCTGGTTCGGTGCTTCAAAGCTAGGTTAGTGTTAACCTTGGGTTAAAATTAAACCCGATGTTATTAGAAATTAACAATATACTCGTAACTCGCAACTCGCAACTCGCAGCTCGCAACTCGCAACTCGCAGCTCGCAACTCGCAACTCGCAGCTCGCACTTTAGATAATCTCTGTGCTTGCTGTCGCCATTATTATAAATAAATTGTCTCACTTATCAGATCGTGTGTGCAATTCTTGTTGGCGGCGGAAAGTACGAAGTTTATTTCAGTTATTTCATTTCATAAAGAACTAGACAAAAGAAGAGAGCGTTCAGAGTCCAGATCGTTTCGTTTCAAACGGCAATTTAATACCGTCTTCTGTAAGTTCTGTTTCGCTCTCTCAGCACAGCCTTGTAAATCGCAAAGTGTTTCGAATAGGCTTACATGCAACTGCCTTTAAATCTTCACCGCGAAAAGCGCAGTTTTCTTCAGTCAACATCAACCAAAAGATAATTTTCTTGAGGAACATATAACGTATCAAGTCTGTTTGAAATTAATGAAACTCGAATAAAGGTTACTATAGTTTACACAAGTCGTAATGTTGCTATTCCAACACTTCACGACAAGCAATCCCCATTGGCATAACGGCAAAAACGTCTCTTCCTTCAAGTAAACAATAAACAGTCTGTTCTTGTTCCATTTTAATCGAAGAAAGTGATCAATTTTCGAATTTTAATTATAGAATCTAATTATAGAATCCAACAGCAAACAGCCAATCAGAATGCTGCGTTCGTGGGCAAACGCGGAAAGTACAAAATACTGGGTCTTGCTTGCAGGCCCACTATTCTTCCTTTGGGCCTGCACGCGGGCTAGCATATGACAAAATCGAATACTTCTCCGTCAACATTATATTCTCTCGCCAAAGCCCAGTCGGCCAGTCCTGCCAGACTTTCAACCAAAATTTGGTACTTTTGTTCGTATTTTCATTCTGTTTTTTTTGTTAAAGCAAAATTTGGTGTTTTTGTTCGTATTTTCATCTAATTCCTCAAGGGCAATTTCATGTCACATTTGTGTTCAAAATACCTTTCCGCCATTTTGTTTGTTTTGGGAAAGTCATTAATTAATTGTACTGCATTAATGAAATAATTGTACTCCTCTCAAACAATCAGCATCCAGTAATTTTGTCATGCTAATAATAAATCAGGTAATTAAATTTGCTTAACCTATTTTTAGGAATCTATCTAGCAACCTTGCAATATTAACATTTAGGGAAAACCCGGTATAAGGGAAATTCCCATTACCCGTTGACCCTGACTGAGACGCATACAAAGCGAAAATAAAGGTCAATACCTACCACTGATAATATTTACATAGCTTGTAAGATTTCTTAAATTAACAATTCATACTCAAATACTGTAGTTCCAGAGCATTCGTTTATCTCGGTCCTTATCGTTTTATTTATTTTGGCATATTAACCTTAAAATGTAACTTTTAAACACTTTACATTTGCTTTTTATTTTGTTGACATTTTAATTAACCATGTCTCACACAAGATTTCGTTCCTAATTTGACTGTTACTACTTCTTGATAGTTTACTGTAGCTATCCTTTTTTTTCTAAATTTTATGTCCAAAAAATTGACAGGCAATCAAGAGCAATCATGGTACATCGTGAGATTTCTGTATTTTGCCGGTTTGCGATATCACATTTGTCCTGAAATTGATTGGGGCTAATTGAATTCTATATATATTTTCATCTCACTGGTTGTACAGAGCTTGCCCAATCAAACTGCAAGAAATGCCACTGATTTCAAAATGATTGATTATTCATTTGTCTCACCGAACTGTGGTATGGGAAAAAAATTCGTATCACTACCACTTCCACTAATATTTTTAACACGACACCCACACAACATACTTTGGCATGTTTACAATTCCAAATTAAACCGCCAAATCAACGTTTTATTGAAATTGTTACCAAGAATGGAATTGTATGTTAAAATTGGAATTGTAAACTTGCAAAAATATATATTACGAAAGTCACCGAACTTTGGAATCGCATCAAAAATTCGTATCGCCGCCACTCCCACAAACGTCTACGACCGCGCCTACATGTCTTGCACGTTTACAATTCTATTTTTAAACAGTCAATCCGGTTCTTGGTAGCAATTACAATTAAACGTCGATTGGCCGTTTAAAATTAGAATTGTAAACATGCAAAAATATGTAGGTGCGGTTTGATGGAAGTGGCGGTGATACGAACAATTGATACGATTCCACAGTTCGGTATCTTGTTACGCCCTAGTGGGGCATGTCTGTGACCACACCTATGTGGTCAAAGACACGCCCCACTAGGCGTGTGTTTCGTATCAAATGTGTCATATGTAAAAAGATAAAGGACTCTTAATCCAATATCTCAATCAGGAAAAGGGGCTCTATCCCTTTTTGGAAGGTTGAGTTTGTTGTACTGAACAGAGACTCGCCTACGTCTTAAGCCGGTTTTCCCCATTAGGCCGAATTTTGCGAGTGGAGCGGAATTTTTAGTTGTCTTGTGATTTCTCAGGTGGAACTAATTGGAAAAGACAAAGAAAAATTCCGCTCCGTGCGCAAAATTCCGCCTAGTTAAATATCTCTGTTACACCCCAAACGTCTCTGACCACACCTACATTTTTATGCAAGTTTGCAATTCTACTATTTTAACAGACAAGCAACCTATAGTTTGCAAACTGTGAAATCCATTGATTTGCTGATTGAATGCAAATTTGGGTGTTTGTATTCCAAGGTGTTTGTATTCCATGTAATGAGTAAGAGTAACGAGTAATGAATTTTCGTACTCACATTACAAAGATAAACCATTAAAACATTGGCATCGTTTCCACTCACTCCTTGCCGTGAATAATTATAATGCTGTGACAGTGTCAACAGTGTTAACTGGTATGATCAAATATGGCCATAATTATGCTTACAGCATTAGTCGTTTCTAGCATGTCACATATTAACCAGTTCAGCCTTCAAAACGATCGTCTCCATTTTGAATAACATGTTCGCAATAGTAAAATACAAGTAAACTCTAATATAGCGGTCGACAAATGCGGAGTGAGCAGAAATTTCGTGTTTTTTCTTGGATTTAATTAAAAAGTAATATCAGTTGGTTTATGAACTGAAAACGTAATTATCGACAGTTCGCATGGGATAAAACTGAATTTAGCCGAACAAAATGGCATGGAAAGAGTTTACGGGCTTAAAAATTGTAGGTTGTCAATTGCGGATGTGCATGCATGTATTCACTGACCGCACATAGCAAAACAAATATGGCGGACGAAAATTTATTATAAAACCAACCTTTATAGTTTATAGGACAGTACTTATATTCTGTACTATTGCGAACATGTTATTCAACTTGGAGACGATCGTTTTGAATGCTGAACTGGTTAATATGTGACATGCTACTAACGAGTAATGCTGTAAGCGAAATTATGGCCATATTTGCATGATCATACCAGTTTAGAACTGCTGACACTGTCACACTCACAGCATTATAATTATTCACGGCAAAGAGTGACTGCCTGATTGGAATCGATGTTAATCTTTTCATGGTTTATCTTTCTAATGTAAATACGAAAATTGATTACTGCATGGCCCAGTCATTACTCGGTATACTTGCATACATCCTGCATGCAAGTTATGTTGATGATGCAAATTGGACAAATTGGGGAATTCCCTTGCATGCAAATTAGGGATTACCTATTACAAAAATGTCATACTATATAAAGCATTAAAGCAGAATCAAAGAAGCATTACTGAAGTAGATTAACTGGTGACCTGGTCGTTCTAAGGCAAGCAGCGTATAGAAAGAGGCAAGATGGCGAAACAGGGAATTCGATGTGTTATAGTGATACAAGGTATAAGTCCGTTGTCGAATGATATTTGTAATAAAACAGATTTAATTAAATACATTTATATGCATTTATATGCATTTCTAGAAAGACTATAAGATCTTATTGCTCAATTTCTGTAGTCACTGACAAGCCAAAGTAGCGACTTATGTAGAGAGACTTGCGCTCTCATATTCTATGGACAGAAGTTTTTCAGAACATTGATTAGGCCATATGAAATAAATTCCTTGATTCTCATCACCGCCCGACGATATTTTGGTTTCCGCGTTGATATATTTTTGTATTTTGTTATAAAATATAAATTTACCGCCCGACCGAACATCTTCAGAGATTTAGTTATTTTTATATTTTATATTGGAATTTTTGCGATATAAAATTGTTTTGCCGTTAATATTGCAACATGTTAAGGGATGCTTGGAATACTGAAGGGAAAAATGGGCTTATAGCCTTATTACAACGATTTGTGTGGCCCTTATGCATGTTCATTAGCGCATGTGCAATTATCCACTTATATAGCGTTCTTCTATAATATATTTAAGGGCAAATATAAAAAGACCTCCCTCTCCAATTTTTTAAATTTTAAACTTTGTTTTTATATTTTGACATAAAATATAAAATATAAACCTCCCGCCTCCTGGGAGTTTTTAAAATTTAGCGATGAGAATCAAGGAATTTATTTTATATGGCCTTAGGGCCCGGTCATTATTTGTGGTGGGGGGTGGCACCGAAGAGAAATGTTTTTTGTGGCGAAAATTTTGGTGACCCAACCATTAAAAAGTCAAAAATTTGATTACCCAACCTCAAGTATCAATTAAAAAATAAATACCCACCCCTGGACAAAAACTTTACAAAAGGATACCATTCAGTTGTCACACATGTCCTTTACCACTTCAATGACATGAGTTTGATAACGGCTTGTGAAATTTTCAGCAATCTAAAGTTTCATATTGTCTGCATATGTAGTTTCTTTGGAGACACCATTTGTCTCCTGACAAATTGGAAAATGATTAAGATATATATAAATGACTCTGATTGATTCACATATGGTATTTACGTATGACTGTTGACATTGCTTTTTAGTCTCCAATATTTCAGTGAGTCATGCTTTGGAAATGACAATAAGTTTTTTGTTACCCAACCCTTGAGTTGTTTTGTTTTTCATTTACCCAACCTTTTACTTACTCAAAATTTTGTTTACCCAACCCTTTTCTCTTCGGTGCATGCCACCCCGCGCCATAAATAATGACTGGTCCCTTAGTTAGATTTTGTTAGGAAAATCCGAGTTTTTTATGCCAAACGGAGGTAGGAATGTTTGAATAGAGTCGTTCGACGTTCAAATCGCCCGAAACTTAAACCAGTTGGAAATTGAGGTGAAATTAAACTAGAGGTAAATGGACCATTTGCATTATAGGCTAAATTTTGATTTAAACTAGTCTAGACAAAAATTTCATCACAGCTTGAAAGAGCATCACAAAATTAGTAGCTAATATTCCAAACTTTCGTTGCGACATGTTGTAAAATGCGGATAATAATTATAGCCTTGCGAAATTTGCCGTTTTTCGGTCAGTTTGTATTACAAACGGGAAATTGACAGTCCCAAAGGGTATTGGGCTGTCAATTTAAATTCGCCCGCGTAATGTAAAATGACTGAAAAACGGCAAACTTCGCAAGGCTATATTATCCGCATTTTAAAACATTTCGCAACGAAACTTTGGAATATTCCTACTTTTGTGATGCTCTTTCAAGCTGTGACGAAATTTTTGTCTAGACTTGTTACGTTTAGATCAAAATTTGGTCTATAATGGAAATGGTCCAATTAGGGATATTCAACTCCACACGCATCTCGGCTTAGAAAGCCGGCCCTTAGAAATTTCTGTCAGACTTAATTGCCTATATTTGTATGTGTTGCAAAATAAATGTGGAATTCAGACTCAAACAAGTGGAAAGCTAAAAAAAGTGAGCTCTCGAGCGAATCAGACATTAATAAATTCACTTATTAAACAGCGTAGCCATGGCTTAAAAAATCATACAAAACACAACTCCATGCAAATACACAGCATAAGGTTTTGTTTCTCTTAAGGCCCTGTTACACGGTGCAATTTTCATGCAACTTGTCTCGCAATGTTTAAAAAAAGATTTTGATTAGTAATGCATTGCAAGAGGTGTTACACGCTGCAATGATTTTCATGCAACTCGCAACGATAGGGGACAGGAGCATGCGAAGAGACTAGGGAAAGGCGCCATTTGGCGCCAAATTTTAATTAAAGTAAAGCGTGTACTAGGGAGAGGCAATAGGAACTCTCCAAGCTACAAACATATTGCGAGACAAGTTGCACGAAACCATGTTACACGCTGCAATCGGCTAAAAATAATTAGTGCAATCGTTGCCAAAAGTAGAACCGACTTCTACTTTGTGCAATGCTTCATGCAACTTGTCTCGAAAAAATTTTGACCATTGCAAGGCATGTTAAACGGTGCAATGACTCGTGCAACTTGTCTCGCAACAGGGCCTTTACTGACACTAAAATGTGTCTAATTGTAGGAAATTTTTCTACATTTTAGCGGTCTTTGCCGTACTAAGTGCTGCAGTTTCTATGATTTCAGCATAGTCTGTCAAGATATGATGGTCTGGGAGCCCAGCAAACTTCAAAGCTACAAAATAGAAGGCCTTTTTTTAATGTTGAACTGTACCTCACCGTGTACAAATCATTTGCCTCAACTTCATTAAATATTATCAATCATGGTTGCAAGTTTCATGCATCTCAGCTATCTTTATTGGACAATTACTTCATTATACAAAACTACAATGAGCATAATCACCGTGATCGTGCGCAATTTAACATAAACTCAAACAAAAACATAATACAATGACTTCTGCTTAGTTTCCAGACCATCATATCATGATAAACTATGATTTCAATAAAACAAATTTTATGAGAAAAATGTACACTATATATGAGAAAACCATAGCTTACCCAAACTTTTTTCAAGTCTGAATCTTGTTCTGCGCGCGATAACAGACCGGCTGATCTCAGTGCCCCTGGAGCGGCGGAAGCTTTCACAATACTTGCGTAATACTTTCACTTCGTATGATCGTATCACTCAGTGTTTCTTTATATAATAAGGAATTACGTATAGTATTTTTAATAATTCCATGACACGCAATCACCAAAATATATTAACGAACATTGTAAGCAAAATGTAGCTTTCTCAGTCTTTATAATAATATACACTTGATGCCTGCTCCAAAGGGAATTAGTTAGTTTTGTTTTCCCGAGAATCTCGATGTTTCCCGACTAACGAAGTCATGGGTACTGAGTTATTGTACTGGGGCATGTTGTTCAAAGCTGGATTAGCGCTAACTCTGGGTTAAAATTTAACCTGCTGTTTTAGTTTGGGTACATTAATTTTGCATGCACATCTGTTTACTTCATGATTTTGGAACATAAAACTTATAGTGATCCAGATGGCTTTGAAATTTGAGGTAACCTAGGATTAAGCTAACCGACTTTTGAACAGCCGGTTCCTGTACAATCCTGTACAGAGTGTTTCAACCAGTTTTCTTTTGCTTTAGGTAATTCAACAAATCAAGGATATATATCTCGATATAAAGCAATGAATTCAGCTGCCAAGTTAAATCCTGCTTTCTTATACATTTTATCCATCTTAAGAGAAACAGCAAATTTGATTTTCTCTGAAAAGAGTTGTTGTGAGACAGCTATTCGTTTGGTTGAAATAGTTGATATCCAGTGTATCCAAGCCAATGGCACCGCGGTAGCTCTCAGCAAAGACGAACTTATTATTTTCAAACAAGTAAGTCCAACAAATCCAATTAATATACAAGAACGTAATCACCCTCTACGTCAAATATGACATAATTTCATGCTTCCGTGGCACAAAATTAGCTTCTGATTGGACACTATGAATTTGAAGTATAATATTAACATAAATTACATTTGTTCTCTAAGTATTAATGAAAATTCACACTAGCTTGTGTTAGGCGAATATTCTGGATACCGTGCACCTTTGATTCAATTAGAGAGGTTAAGATACCCCGGTTTACGGGTACGAGTGATATACACATACCCGTACCCGTAAATCGGGGAACGACTTGTAACTTAAGAAATCTAAAATGTTCCGGCGTGAGAAAACCGATCAGAGAATGGTAACTTTCGCTCTTGAGGTTGGCCATAAACTTTTGAAAACTTTGACGAACATATGCTCATTATTTATTTGGTTTAGCGCGGGGAAATAGGTAGAAACTACGGGTGAATATGCTGACATCAGCAAAAATTGGTAAACGAAATGGCGATACTAGCTCGTACCCGTAGACCGGAACAGGGGTATCTTAACCTCTCTAATACCTGTCCAGAACCGTGTAATTGTCTACACTGAAAATGGTCACTTTTAACATACTCCAATTCAGTTATTAAAAAATAATAAAAGACGTTTTAAGGTAATTCCACAGTTTTGCATTGCGCACTTTTACTGCGCACATCTTACAACTTATAATTTCATCCATTATACGTACCGTTAAAAAAATCATTTTATGACAATTTTATGTTACTTCAAAACATCTTTGGTTACATTCGTGCAAAGAATTTCGTTAAAATCAATGTTTTCAAAACAGGCATGCAAAAGTGTAGCTAGGGTTCCCTGTGTCTGTAGTATATTTATTTATTTGTATTTTTAATGCCACAATTCCCTAAAAAAATCGGTGACCCCCATTTTTTAACTGATAATTTATTTCTTCAATGCATTTTACATTTCATATCCGAAATTAAAAGAAATCTGGATCTTGAAAAAAAATCCTTTATCAATGCAAACTCAAAGAAATGTGGAAAAGACATTTGTGAATCAGAATTGTACACGTTAGTAGTTTCATTTTGCTCAAAGCACAATATTTTTTCAAAAATAATTACAAGATAGGTTTACTAAAGCAAAATCCGCGCTAAAAACGTCAATAAATATCGGGCTGTTGTGATTTTGCTGTTACTCGTAATCAGCGTCAAGATGGGGCTATATTGGAGTAAAGGTGGTATATTGTGACTGTCATATCACCTTATTAACGAGTTCGGTGACCCCAACTTTTTTGTGTGATTTTACTTTAAGTATATCATAAACTCCATGCCTGGGAAGTTTCAGCACATTCTCATTTCGGGAACAATTACTGCGGAATTACCTTAATAAAACGATTTAAATATTGCAATTTCAATGAAAATTCTATTTGATAATTGTACCGTTTATTTAAAGGGATATGGCAATAAAAATTAAGTTTGTCTTTGACTAAAAACGCTATTAGTGTGGCGGATATGTGCATGGATGTTTCCGAAGAGGGTTAAAAGCACCAAATTGTGCACAGTAGCATCTTTTTATGAGTAGAACAACATGCAAAGTGGTACCATCGTGAAACTGTTTTTTAGCAGTATCTACTATTAAGTTCTACAACAACAAAAAATGTAAAATTTTGAATTCAATCGCGACAAATTATAACTTGCATCATCAGAAAGCTTGTATAAGAAACTACATAAAAGACTTTTAAACAGTTTTTTTATTCTTCAAATGGTTATTGCTGTAAATTAGGCACATTTTCTCGCTAAAAATCCCTAATTAATTATTCGATGTTTGAAAATGCGTTTTTAATTAACAGTTTATAATTCGAAAATTATTTCAGGAATCAAAAAGTTAACTGTCTAAACGTCTTATATGCAGTTTTTTATAAGCTTTCTGAGGATATGCAAGTCAAATTTGTTGTAAATGAATACAAAAATTTTACATTTTTGGCTATAATAGAATTCAATAGAAGAAAATCGCTAATCACCCGTTTTCAGGAGTTAGAAGCAAAATAGCGATGGCCCCACTTCAAATATCTATTAAACAAATAAAACTACATCAATTGTAAAAGTTTGATGCTTTTAACCTGAACTACTGATCAATAATTTTACACATATCCGCCACACGTAACAGGTGGGAAATTTGTCGTCGCTGACCAAAAAATTGCGGGCAGAAACAAAGCTCATTGCATTTACATTCAAAACAAAGCAGAAAGTTAGCAAGAAGCTGTTTTAGCTGACGATTTTTTGCTTTCCATTCAACGATTTACAAATTATTGGTTATTCTTTTAAAAGTCGATCATGAATTCTTTGTTTTGGGATGATGGTTTTGTAATCGCGTGATTGGAAGAAGTTAATATGGCGACGTGAACATGGGAGTAAATACCGTATACGTCGATCTATGGCTTGTTTAAAACCGTAATAAACGAAGAAAGACGTGATTTGAGAATGAAATGTAAGTTGAAATTAACTTTATATGCCTCCAATTTTCCATCCTATGTTTCTTAATGTAACTTCAGCTGT